AAAGAAAAGAAAAGAAAAGAAAAGAAAAGAAAAGAAAAGAAAAGAAAGGAAAAGAAAAGAAAGAAAAAGAAAAAGGAAGGAAGGAAACAATTTTTCTCCTTTTCCATAACTGGATTTGGGCAGTTGAGAAGCGGCTATTTTTATTAAGCTGACCTTCACGCAGCTGAGGAAATTTACCCTTTAGGCCTATAACCTTTTCCTTCTCTTGCAGGATTTCATGTCTGTGCTGCTGGGTGGATGGCCAAGGGCAGAGTTGGATATCCCATTGTGAAACCCGGGCCCAACTGTGGATTTGGAAAAACTGGCATTATCGATTATGGAGTCCGTCTTAATAGGAGTGAAAGATGGGATGCCTATTGCTACAACCCACATGGTTTGTTAAAAATAATAATTTTATACTTCACAAAAACAGTTGACACGTTAACAACAACAGAGATGTTAAAAAATAATGGCTCCTTCTCCCAGAGATAAATCAACCTAGCGATGATAATTATTAATAATAACAACCATTCAGGGGCATCTGGGTGGCTCAGTCGGCTATGCGATTGACTTCGGCTCAGGTCATGATCCACATTGGGTTGTCTGCTGTCAATGCAGAGTCTGCTTTGGATCCTCTGTCTCCCCTCTCTCTGCTCCTCCCCCACTTGTACCCTCTCTTTCTCAGAAATAAACATTTAAAAAAATAATAATAACAACAATTCACAGAATGATTATGCCATGCCAGATACTGACTCATGCTCCTTCCTCATCTACACTGTCACATAATGCAACAATTCTGCAAGAAGCTACTGTTATACCCATTTTAGAAATTAGGAAATTCAAAGTCTAATAACTTACGCCAATTCAGATATCTAATAATTAACAGGTAGCTTGTATCACGGATTCAGGCCTTTTCTATGCTACATCTTTTTCTATTCCCAATCACAAAGCGGTGGGCTGGGGGGGGGGGTGGTTTGGGGAACGGGAGAGAAGCAGGTTATAAACTTGTCACGGTTAATTAGCTAACACAACAAAGCGATGCTACAAATGTTAACTGTTCAAAATTACCTCTTTGATAGAATGGGGAAAAAGGAGACAAACTCTTTCCCTAATTTCTTTTTTTTTTTTTTTTTTAAATCCTTATCAATTTTTGAGAGAGAAAGAGAGAGAGAGAGAGAGAGAGAGAGAGAGAGAGAGAGAGAGAGAAAGAGACAGCACAATCAGGGAAGGGGCAGAGAGAGGGAGACACAGAATCTGAAGCAGGCTCCAGGCTCCGAGCTGTCAGCACAGAGCCTGACGTGGGGCTCAAACTCACAAACTGTGAGATCATGACCGGAGCTGAAGTCTGATGCGTAACTGACTGAGCCACCCAGGCACCCCTTCCCCTAATTTCTTTTTGTGCATAAATTCTTAAACTACCAAACTAAGCAACTCTTATTCTGTGATTTGTTTTCTCAATTATATACTGGATATATTAGTTATTATTATACAGTATATTTTTATTCATATTTTTTCCCATGGTTAACTGTAGCTAGGAAATTTTTAAAGAGAAAATTAATTCAACAAAATTACTCTAAAGAGCTATTCTTTATTCATGTTCTTGGAGAAAAAATAGATTGTTCTTTTTGGATATATTTTCCCCAGGACTATACTACGAAGAATTATAATGTGTTACCATCTGTCTCACATTTAGGGTCACAAACACCCTCAGGTGTTGCCTTATTTGGATCTACCTTATAAGAAAGTCCCTATAGTAAAGTTACAATAAGTTATAGTGAAGTTCTAGCATATTATTATAGAATCTATTATATAATGATATTAACCATTGGAAAATAGTTTCTCATGTTTGTAACTAATCTTTATCTTAAAATAATGTGTATTCTAAGTAGAAAAGAATTTTGCCTAGAGCCATCATCTATTTCCACTCAAGACCAAATATGAATAAACACTTACAGTGCATTTATGTAGGACTATAATTTTCAAATCACTTTGACATACATTAAATCTATTTTATATTTAGTTCTATATTCAGGCATTATTAATAGTTCATATATCTTCTTTTCCTTCCCTTTTCCTCTCTTCCTTTTTCTTCAGTATATTCATACAAGCAACTTTCTGTTTACTCTTAAGAGTAACTTTTATTTCCAAGTATGTTCCGATTCTTTCTTTGCTTGATAAACTTTGGGATCTCTGAACATCTATTCAATCATTTCCACGCGTCAAGATCTAGGGGAGATAAAGAAGTGCCAATTGGAAGTTTCCTACAGTATTTCCTTGCCCTTTTATACAAACGCCACCTTAACTTACAAATTTTTATAAATTGCTTTTGTTTCTCATAGAGGCTGAATCCTTTTTACTCTGGGAATATTTGTACAGAATCCTGAGACACTTGTTCTTACTCAATTCTCAGCTTACTTTTGGACTCGGTGACAGGCTGAGTTTTTAGGATGTGGTGAGCCTGAAGGGGACTGGGAACCGCCTGAACTAGCACTGAGGGAAGAACAGTTCGCTGAAAAATAACTGGAAGGAAAAAATCATAACCATATCATAAAAATAAAGCAATGATTATCAATTAATCAATAAAATGTAGAGCTGATAGATAGGGCTAAATAGACAAATTGTTCAATATTTGAATTCTTTCCTAATCTAATGGTAGGGACAATAAAGATAGGATGGTAGGGGACAGGGCAAGTCACTCCAAAAGCTGGCACTGTACATGCTTATGTACACATATGAGCTATGTATTATATAATATTTAATATTACAATAAGAACAGCTTACATTTTATGTAACACTCTTAAGTTATCTTCTGTGTTACTATCCTAAGAATAATCCTGTGAAGTAGGTAATAGGAGAGACATGATTATATTTACCTTAGCAATGAAGAAACTGAAGTATCCAGTGGTCACAGAGCTCAGACTGGATCCTTGACCTTCTTTCTTTTGTCATTCCCCTGTCTTTCTAAGATTCTGTTGGGTCCTTGGGGAGATAAGCTTCCTTACCTTCTATGGTATTCAGGATTCTAACCCATTTTTTTTTTTAATAGTTGTTTTAAAGGATAACATTCTTGGAAAAAGTCTCTAACTGATATAATGAAAGATATCTTCGAACGCTCCTCACAGTCACCACCACCACCACCACTCGTGTAATTTTTGAGTTTCCAGACTGTACTTTTTTTCAGGACACAAGACACTTATTTGATCTGAAATTAAAATTAACCAGGGCCTTTCCATACCTTTCCCTCAAGGTCACACTATAAAATCACTGGCAGAGGTTGCTGGTCTGTTTGTTCTCATCCAGGTTATAAGGATGACAGTAATCCAGAAAATGATAAATTACTTGAAAAAACCAAACATTAATATCTCCATCAAATCCTCAAATATTAGGATCAAGGTGTTAGTTTAAAGCCAGTAAAAGGAGTATAGAATGATTGTAAATTATTCTTTTTAACTGAATTACAGTGACCTCCAAGGTCCCTTGTGATCCTGAAATTCTATAATGATTTTCCAAACAGAATTTATTGGACTCATTATTCTAAATGTTCAAGAGTCTTGAAGACACAGTGTTGACACCACGGGACAAAATCCCAGCCATCTTGATTGGGCTGTTGGTAAAATTGGCATATGTATTCATCAAAATATATACACATGAGACCTGCACATTCTAAGCTGAAAAGATAAAAAGGAAAAAAGTAAACAAGAGCACAATTAAATTGCTGTTTTTTCTTGCTGTTTTACTTTTTTTAAAAAATTCAGTCTAAATTCATTTGAGAAAATTTAGCAATGAATAATGAAAAAATTCATTTATTCTCTAACTACAAGTATACGTATTTAATATTTCATTAAAAGCAATAAATAGGCACTAAGAAGTGCATATCCGTTTAAAATAGGGATAATATTTTTTCTAATGCTTTCTTTCTTTCTTTTCTTTTTTTTTTATCCACTTCAGCAAAAGAGTGTGGTGGTGTCTTTACAGATCCAAAGCGAATTTTTAAATCTCCAGGCTTCCCAAATGAGTATGATGATAACCAGATCTGCTACTGGCACATTAGACTCAACTATGGTCAGCGTATTCACCTGAGCTTTTTGGACTTTGACCTTGAAGATGACCCAGCTTGCTTGGCTGACTATGTTGAAATATATGACAGTTACGATGATGTCCATGGCTTTGTGGGAAGGTATGTGTTTCCCCATATAAAAAGTTAAAAATACATCCAATATTTTGTTTGATGGTTCTTTAATTTTCTTTACCTGTCCCCACAGTTATTGATTTTCCAGTATTTTTTCTCCCCTGCAACACCATATCCTTTAAAAATTGTGCTTTATTTTTTTTAAGTTTATATATTTGAGAGAGAGACAGTCAGAGAAAGAGAGGGAACACACACGTGGGCTTGCAAGAGTGGTGGGAGGGGCAGAGACAGAGAGTGAGAGTGAGCGAGAGAATCCCAAGCAGGTTCCGCAGAACCAGATGAGGGGCTCAACTCATGAGCTGTGAGACCATGACCCGAGCAGAAATCCAGAGTCAGACACTCAACTAACTGAGCCACCCAGGCACCTCAACACCATATCTTTTTTTAGCAAAGATTTTTCTTAGCACGTTAAGCCAGTCAGCTGCTACATGTTCATATTTTTGAAATAGTGATAGCTGCCTTTTGAGTACTGTTAAGTAATCAGCAGTAAGAATTAAACAGTCTATCTAAAAAGACCTCAAGATTTAATTAACAACAGAAGGAAGAAGACACATGTGAACTGAGAAAGTTTCAAGTATTCTAATTTCTATCAACCTCCTAAAAATAATGATAAATTCAGTAATTATTTTCTTTCTTCTGTGTACAAAGCATTGTGTTAAGCATTATGAATGTAAGAATAGGCGAAGTACAGCCCCTAATCTCGTACAATTTACTTAGAAGTACAATGGAAATATGCTTTAAAATAGCTTTCTTTGCCATAAGAAACACGTGCTCCTTTCCTCAGTATTTCTCCCGTGATTTTTCAAGGGAGACAATATTTGCTGGGACACAATATTTCTGTGTTCCCATCCTAAATCATCAATATAGTTTAAACTTTGAATGTCTCACAAAATATTACAAATCAAAAAGTATATAATTATATCTTTTATTTATATAGCCCCCACTTCATAATGCATATCTTGGACTATCCATTATCAATAGACTATCAGTGATCAATTTTCTATTATCCATGACAGTAATTTAATGAAAGAAAATGGTAGTGAGGACAATTAAAAATGACAGACTCAGTAGTTTGCTGTGACGTGAATTGTAACTGAAATACAAAGAAAAACCAAGCATTTCTTGCATAAATGAACAACAATTTTTGGAGGGAAATTGTTTTTGTTTTGTTTTGTTTTGCTCTTTGGCTGACAGACCACTGTGATAGAAAAAATACAAATAGTTTTTAAAAAATAGGTTGAAGAAGATATGAAGCAGGGTTGGGGAAATTAAGAGCTAAGTATTTATTGAAAGAATGGACATCCTACCTTGAGAATCAAGATGATATTTTTATTCTAAACCTAGTTTCAGAAATCAATTACAGCCCTAGATACAATCACATACTATTTTTTAAAAGGTTTTCAATTGGGGTGCCTGGGTGGCTCAGTCGGTTAAGCGGCCAACTTCAGCTCAGGTCGTGATCTTGCGGTTAGTGAGTTAGAGCCCTGCGTTGGGCTCTGTGCTGACAGCTCAGAGCCTGGAGCCTGTTTCAGATTCTGTGTCTCCCTCTCTCTGACCCTCCCCCATTCATGCTCTGTCTCTCCCTGTCTCAAAAATAAATAAAATGTTAAAAAAAATTTTTTTAATATAAAAAAAATAAAAGGTTTTCAATAGACTAATTTGTCATTTATTGTATTTATATTATGTGATAAATCCATCCCTTTTATATAATGTGCAAGGAAATTCCTTTCAAGTCATGATTCAGATAAAAATCAATCCCTCTTACAAGGTCCAACATAATTTTCCACATTTAAATCAGTCTACACTAGAATTCAGAATATTAATACTATCAGCCATATACCTATTCCTCTTTAACTGTGAAGAAAGCTTTACCGGATTAATCAGAAACAAATTAAAAATTTTTCCAAATACATTCAAGTTGTCTACTACACAAATAATTCTGCAAGTACACAGAGTAGAAATGCCACATGTTCTTTTTTTAAGAATCTCAACAGGGGCGCCTGGGTGGCTCAGTCGGTTGAGCGTCTGACTTCGGCTCAGGTCACGATCTCGCGGTCCGCGAGTTCAAGCCCCGCGTCGGGCTCTGGGCTGATGGCTCAGAGCCTGGAGCCTGCTTCCGATTCTGTGTCTCCCTCTCTCTCTGCCCCTCCCCCGTTCATGCTCTGTCTCTCTCTGTCTCAAAAATAAATAAATGTTAAAAAAAAATTTAAAAAGAAAAAAAAAAGAATCTCAACACTGTGAGGTTATTTCAAACAGCAAACTTTTTTTTAACTCTTCTCTCTTACAATTTCAAGTTAAAAAAAAAAAACCCAAAACAATATAAAAAAATATATAAAATAATAGGAAAGTGAGCCATTACTTAGGAAAAATAAAGCACTCTAATTATAGGTCAGAGCCACTTGCAATAGCTGTGTAATATGTATTTGTGTGACTTCTCTTTTTTTAAAATTCCCTTTCAGATACTGTGGAGATGAGCTTCCAGAAGACATCATTAGTACAGGTAATGGCTCTAAAGTGAGGTGTAAGACTATGGTTTGTTTTCCCATAGTGTCACAGAAAATTAAGAACTCAGTAGTTACTACTATTTTCTTTTTAAAGTTGAGAAGACAATTGGGACAGATGTAGCCTGCTAGCTTGTAAAATGCAGAGTTTGTCTCTTCTTAAAGCCTTATGCCACCTTACACTAAAAATGTGTAGACTCTTGTTATGTGGAGGAATGCAGTCTGAGATAGTCTCGAATCTGCAAATCCCTGAAAACTGCTGTAGGTTATGATTTCCATAAAATGAGGTAATACACCAAAATGTTTCATCAATAAAGGATTGAAAAGTATTCTCAAAAGCATTAAAGCTGTTAAAAATACCTTCTGTCAAAAAAAAAAAAACACCTTCTGTCACTGAAAAAAATTTTGTATCATACTAACTGCATTTTTATCTTAGTACAGTGTTGTAAAGAACACAGTTCTAGGAGATATTTTTAATAGGTGTTGCATGAGAAAAGAACTCTAAGGTCAAGTAAATTTGGGAAACATTGGGTTAAACCAATGTTAAACAAATCTCTTTAATGGAAGATGTCAGAGAGCTTTTAATATGCTAATTATGCAAAGTAAATGTCAAAAGGCGAGCTATGGTAGGCAATGTGTTCCAAATCTTTTTAACTCCTGCAAATTATTTGTGACTTTGTTCCAAGCAATATACCTCAAGTATAGTCGTATATATTTAGTTCAATAAGCAATTCCACTGCCATTGACCCAAATTGCTATTTTCTGGCTGAAAACCTTTAGTTTCTTAGATATTTTTATTTTTTTCTTGTTATTTCCATCCCCAGCACTAGTAGTTGGCATTCTTACTTGTTCTATTTTTCCTCCAAGTTATAAAATTATCACAATGTTTCTGCAACTAAAAACAACAAAATACACTGAATTACAATTTCTAAGTAGTCCTTAAGCTCAGACACCACTAGCTCAATTACTCCCACACCCTAGCCTTGAGGTGCATGAAATTCTCATTTATGCGTCATTATTACAAAAGATGGAACTTCTTATTCAATTCTTGAATGATTAATACTTAAATGTTATTCATTCATTCTCTACGTTACAATTTCCCTGGTCAGGGCAAACTATTAAACTATTTGTCTCATTCTTTTCTTGAGGTCATATTTTACGTTAACAGAAAGTTAAAAGAAGACATGAGCTGTAGGAGGTAGTTGGGAGAGGAGAATCCTATTCTTAAAAAAGAAAAAAAAAACTAAACAGGGAGAGTCAAATGCCTGAAACTTGACATTTTTCTTGTTTTGTCTAAAACAGACTACACTTACTGCAAATGTAAACAAAACAGTATTTTTCTAGCATAACTGCAAGAAACTGAAAACAACACACAATTTATGATTCAGAGAGAAACAAATGAACGCACAGAGAGAACAGTGAAACAAAACAGCCAAAGATTTAGCAAAACAGCAAGAGCAGGATATTGATACCAAATAACAGAAAAACATTTAAAATACATTTGAAGTATAATCCTGTCAGTCAAGTATAATGCTGTTAACATTTGATCTAGTTTTCTGTATTAAAAAAAATTTTTTTTAATGTTCATTTATTTTTGAGACAGAGTTTGGGGGCGGGGGGGCAGAGAGAGAGGGAGACACAAAATGTGAAGCAGGCTCTAGGTTCTGAGCTGTCCAGCACAGAGCCCAATGCAGGGTTCAAACTCACAAACCATGAGATCATGACCTGAACCGAAGTCAGAGGCTTAACTGACTGAACCACTCAGGTGCCCCTGACTTGGTTTTCTTCTTAAATATATCCTTGTTCACTCCAGAATATTAATATTAAAAAACAAAAACAGAAAATGAATGAACTAAGAACTAGCCGTAAACTATATCACTTTAATAAAAGGTATATAAAGTAAGAGTACACCCACTCTCCTCGTCTGTCCCCACCCAAGAAAGACATTAGCCATTCTTCCAGGTGTTTTCCTGTATTAAATAAACATTATATACACACACACCATGGAAGTATTTCCAAGTCACCATATAATATGTAGATCATTCAAATTCATTTTAATAATTGCCTAGTATGTCACTGTATGGATGTGCCATACATAATTTGTCATGTACCAATATTTAACATCCTACAGATGGTTGTTTCTTTTTTTTTTCCTTTCACTAACGTTTCACTGTATATTTTTATTTTTTTTTAATTTTTTCAACTTTTATTTATTTTTGGGACAGAGAGAGACAGAGCATGAACGGGGGAGGGGCAGAGAGAGAGGGAGACACAGAATTGGAAACAGGCTCCAGGCTCTGAGCCATCAGCCCAGAGCCTGACGCGGGGCTCGAACCCACGGACCGCGAGATCGTGACCTGGCTGAAGTCGGACGCTTAACCGACTGCGCCACCCAGGCGCCCCGTCACTGTATATTTTTAAACCTCTACTTTGTGGTGCTGGGGTTTTTTTGTTTGTTTGTTTTTTTGGTTTTTTTTTTTGCTTTTTTTATTTTTATTTTTATTTTTTTCTTTTTTTTTTAACATTTATTTATTTTTGAGACAGAGAGAGACAGAGCATGAACGGGGGAGGGGCAGAGAGAGAGGGAGACACAGAATCGGAAGCAGGCTCCAGGCTCTGAGCCATTAGCCCAGAGCCCGACGCGGGGCTCGAACTCGTGGACCGCGAGATCGTGACCTGAGCCGAAGTCGGACGCTCAACCGACTGAGCCACCCAGACGCCCCTTTTTGCTTTTTTTTAAGAGATTCCTAGAAGTGAAAATTTGGGGTCACAAGTGATTCCATTTTAAATGTTGATAGACGTTGCCAAGCTGGCACTAGGCCTACAGTTGCCAATTTGTATATCAACTAGTTGAGTAATCTGTAAAATGTGTTCTCTTTGTTTGTTTTTAGTTTAGGCAACTCTTCCAAGTCTGAGAAAAGTGTAGTGGATCAGAGCATGAACTGACCAGGGCAGAGACTGCCTGGGCTCAAACCCGGTTGTGCCACATTAGCTTTGTTGTAGCTTTGGACAACTCAAGCTCTCTATGCCTCAATTTCACCTGTAACATAAAAATTTTAATATCCACCTCATGATGTGGTGGGGAATAAATGAATTAATAGATGAAACACACTTAAAGCTGTGCTTGGCAAACAATTAAATTTATGTGGGTTTTTTTGGAATGAATTCTGGATTTGTGATGTGGATGAAGAAGGCCTTTACCTCCCCAAAAAGAAAAACATACCTATATTTTACTTTATATAATAAATTTTCCCTTTTAGCACATTTTGGTCTTTAATGCAGGCAAAATGTATTTAGGTATTCTGTGTAAAGTAGGGAGTTAGTGTTGTGGCTTTGTTTCTTACAATGGAAAGCTTGTTGCCCTGATATCACTTATAAATAATCCATCCATACCTCACTGGTTTAAACTGCCTGCCACTCTCCTGTAATTCAGTGGATGTTCCTTCTATAAAGAATACTTTTGGGGCGCCTGGGTGGCTCAGTCGGTTAAGCTGTCTGACTTCAGCTCAGGTCATGATCTCGCACTCCGTGAGTTCCAGCCCTGCGTCAGGCCCTGTGCTGGCAGCTCAGAGCCTGGAGCCTGCTTCGGATTCTATGTCTCCCTCTCTCTCTGCCCCTCCCCCGCTCATGCTGTGTCTCTCTCACTCTCAAAAATGAATAAATATTTTAAAAAATTAAAAACAAAAAGAATACTTTTAAAAACAGAATAGGCAAGATTTCCTGTAGGACAGATTGAAGGGCCAGAGGAGGAAATAGAGAAGTCTCCCACTCTGCTGTACTTGACAATGGAAGGAAGCACAGATTCCACGTCTTCAGAATCCAGCTCTGAATCCTGGGAGTCTGGTTCATGAATTTTTATGTTCTGCTATAAGAATGATGAGTCCTTGGACTGTCAGCCAAATCAAAGTAGAGTAACATCTTTGTTCTTTTGCACTCCCCTGTCTCACCAGGAAATGTCATGACCTTGAAGTTTCTAAGTGACGCTTCAGTGACAGCGGGAGGTTTCCAAATCAAGTATGCTGCTGTGGATCCTCTATCCAAATCCAGTCAAGGAAAAAACACAAGTACTGCTTCTACTGGAAATAAAAACTTTTTAGCTGGGAGATTTAGCCATTTATAAAACAAATAAGGACACTCAAGTGTTGATGTTTGTATCTTTTGGAACCCCTTTGATCTCACTTTTATATTATTAGTGGTAGCATTTATTTATTATTTTTCTAAATGTGAAAGGCAATAACTGATAATTTGGGGAAAATTGGAAAATACAGAAATTTTAAATGAAAAAATAAAATATCTTATAATCCCACTGCATAAAAATAACAAATATTAACATTTGTATATTTTTCTTTTAGTTATTTTTCAATTTGTGGTATATGTATATATGTATCTATATGTATTTGTATTTGTATTTGAAATTTTGGAATCCTGCTCCATGTACAGTTTTAATATTTTGGTTTTTTTAAACTTGAACTTTATGGCTTAAGCATTTTCCCATATCATTGATTTTTCTGCAATAACATAATTTTGAACAGCTGTAAAATAATCTGTGGTATGATTATTCCATACTTTATTTAAGCCTATCTGCTTTGTGGGAATTTTAAGTTGCTTTCATAAATATTGCTGCAATAAATATCATTGAACATGTGTATTTATACAGCTCTCTAATTATTGGGGATAGGGTCCTAGAGGTAGAATTACTGGCTCAGATATTAATTAAAATAGGATTTTCTTCAAGTCCCTGGCTGGTTCAGTTGGTAGAGCATATGACTCATGATCTTGGGGTTGTGAGTTCGAGCCCCATGCTGAGGGTGGAATTTACTTTAAAAAAATAAAATAAAATAAATGTACAGCTTTAAAAAAATAGAATTTTCTTTTTTATGGGCAAAAGTGACATATCATTATGGTTTCAATTTGCAGTGAGATTGATGGTTGGTTTATATATTTTTGATCAATTTTTTTTTAATTTTTCATGTCTTTCATCCATTGTTTTACTTACACAATCTTTTATTGATTTATAAGAAATCATTACATATTGGATATGTACTTTCACGTCTCTCCTATATGTTGCAATTTAATTTTGTGTGAAGTTTGATTTATATAATGTTTTTTAATGTATTAAAGGTTAAATTTTATTTCCTATCATACTGATATTGCTGCAGTCTCTTGTCTTTATATTTATAATGGATATTCCCATTACAAGTTTATATATTTATTCATTAATATTTTATTTTTGTTGCTTTATGGCTTTGCTGTTTTAGAAGGAAAAAGTCATAGTTGTTACCCTTTATATGAGAGGTAATGGTTACCGTCCAATTAAACTCAGCAGAAATAGATGTGCCTGGCATTGTTCTGGACACTTGGGAAACACTCAAGAACCAAATGAACAAAAATTCTCAGGTATGGGGAGCTTATGTTCTGGTGGGAGGAGAGAGACAATAATTAAACATGATAAATTAGTAGGGGTGTTATAATAAATACTCGGTGCCCAGGAAGAGACGAGCCACGTGCACTCAGGAACCAGGATAAAACGTTTATTGCCCACCAGGACCAGCCCAGCGGAGTCACCTCCAAAGGCTGAGCCCTGAACCTTGGCATCAGCCTCCTTTTATGGTTGGGATGGTAAGGGGTTGAGAGACAAAAAAAAGGGGGGGGAGGGGGCACTAATCAGTGGTGCTAGGTGGGCAGTTGGTGGACACAGGAGGAAAGCAAGATTACAGAAGCCAAAAGCATATAAGGGGAGTATCCAGCTTCGGACATCTGGCTGGCCCCTTTTATCTTGTTTTTACTAGCTTTTCTTCTCAGGGGTACCTGGGTGGCTCAGTTGGTTTGGTGTCTGACTCTTGATTTTGGGTCAGTTCATGATCTTTTGGTTCATGACTTGGAGCCCTGGGTTGGGCTCCACACTAACTGTGCTGGGCCTGCTTGGGATTCTCTCTTTCTCCCTCTCTCTGCCCCTCCCATGATCTAGCATGTGAGTGCACTCACATGCGCATGCTCTCTCTCTCTCTCAAAATAAACTTAAACAAAGAACATGGTAAATTAGTAAACTACATGTTAGAAAAAAATTACAGAGTGTTGGGGCACCTGGGTGTCTCAGTCAGTTAAGCGACTGACTCTTGATTTCAGCTCAGGTCATGATCTTGTGGTTCATAGGGTCGAGCCCCATGTCTGGGCTCTGCACTGACAGCACAGAGCCTGCTTGGCACCTCTCTCTCCCTTTCTGTCTGTCCCTCCCCTGCTCCCACTCTCTCTCTGTCTCTCAAAATAAATAAATAAACTTAAAAAAAAAAAGATTAGAGAGTGTTGCCTACAAAATTACTAATGATAAGCCCCGATTCGAGAGACCCCCTGAAAACAAACCACCAGAGTCCAGAGCCAAAGCCAAGCGGCAAGGGTCATTTATTGCAGGTTCGAACCCGGTCCTCCGCGCACTTGTTGCCGGTGACGCAAGAGGCCCCGAGCAAGGATCTTACAGCTTCTTTTATAGACAGGCACAAACAAGTTAGGGATTTTTTTGAGGTTACAGAGTTGTTATAGGTTGACATTTAAATTTGAACACTCAGCAGAACTCGATTGGTTCCCGCCTTTATTTCAAACCATTCAGCAGAACTTGATTGGTTGCCGCCTTTATGTCAGACTATGACCTGGCGTGCCCTGGCTGGTTTCGGGAATGGCGGGGGAAGGGAAAGATCTTTTCTTTGCAGTTGTGAGTACACCTGGTAATTTTTCTCTTAGCCTCTCACTAATGGAATGAGTATAGATTTTAAAAAAAGAAAGGCTTAAGAACTGAGCCTTGGAAGAGGAAGATCAGCAGAGAAGACTGAGAAGGAACAAAGGGTGAATTAGAAGGAAAATCCCTTGGGGTCCTAGAAGCCTAGTGAAAAATACATCAAGGAGGAGGGAGTGATCAACTGTATTAAATGTTGCCAGTAGATTTACAAAGATGAGTGCTGAGAATAACCATTGGGTTTAGCAACTTGAAGATTGTTGGTGACCTTGAGGAGCAGTCTGAGCAGGGTGGAGACAAAGGCCCCCTGGGGTGTCCTGTAGAGTGAGGTAGAGGAGATCACTGGAGAAGATGAGTCTGGCTATCAAGGAAATGATGCTGTCAGAGTTGAACTGGGTTGAAAGAAGGCTTTCTTGATGATAATGAACTTAGAGAAGGGAGAGATGCTGGGGCCATTTTTCTGAGTCTGGGTAGTAGTCAGGGTCCTGGGAAACTGCAGAGATTATCACAGGAGTGTGGGCTGACTTACAGGAAGTTCTCAGGGGATTGTGAATCATTAGATGCCCACCACAGAAGAAGACCCCCCCCCCCCCCGGAGGAGAAAAATCAGAGGTGGTTTTATGAATCCAAAGAGAGAGCTTCCTTGATGGAAAAGGATTACCCAAATAAAGCTGAAACAGAGCTTCTGCCAACCCAGGACTCTGCGAGGGGATTGCAGGTAAATACCCCAACTTCTTCTTCCTCCTAGGCTTTTATGTCCTGCTGGTGCTTCCCACTGTCTGAACACAAGCATAAATCAGAATACAAGGAAACCTGGTTGGTGCTGTCCACAGAGATCAGCTCCTGGGCCCCAAGCAAGAAGTTAAAGCATAGATCTGGAAAGGTGAAAGGAAAACATCTGTCATCATGGATGAGAGGAGACTGGTTCTAGTGCAGAAATGGAGGGACTGGCTTTAGATAGGAACATGGACAGTCCCTCTATAGTCCCTCTTTTATGTCATGAATCCTTTAACAGTTGAAAGCTATGAACACTTCTCAGTGTTATGTTTTTAAATGCATAAAATTCAGAGAGGTACATGGGGCACCTGGGTGGCTCAGTTGGTTGAGTGTCTGACTTCAGCTCAGGTCATGCTCTCACAGTTTGTGAGTTTGAGCCCCACAAGGGGCTTGCTGCTGTCAGCCTGTCAGTGCAGAGCCTGCTTTGGATCCTCTGTCCCTCTCTCTTTGCCCCTTCTGCACTTGCACTCTCTCAAAAATAATAAACATTAAAAAAAAGTCAGAGTACAAAGAAATCTAATTATTTTGAAACACAGTTACAAAATCATTTTTTTTATTTATTTTTTTAAAAAAAAATTTTTTTTCAACATTTATTTATTTTTGGGACAGAGAGAGACAGAGCATGAACGGGGGAGGGGCAGAGAGAGAGGGAGACACAGAATCAGAAACAGGCTCCAGGCTCTGAGCCATCAGCCCAGAGCCCGACGCGGGGCTCGAACTCACGGACCGCGAGATCGTGACCTGGCTGAAGTCGGACGCTTAACCGACTGCGCCACCCAGGCGCCCCTACAAAATCATTTTTAAAATCAAATCTGTGATACCTTAATGCATGTGTTTCTATATTAATGCTATAAATAATAACTACTGGTGCATCTAATAACTATCATAATTTCAAAGTAGTGATACATATGTGTATAATATTCTGAAGTAGATGCAAAACTGTTTAGTGGTATAAAAATCCCTATGATGTCTACTTGTGACAAAAACATAGGTATTGCCACTGTGGTTTACTACCTATATTCACAATTGAAGGAAATGATAGATTTCGGTTAAGAGTTATTAGTCATATGAGTTATAGAGTTATATGCAGGAGATGGCCTGGATTAAATCCAAAGATCCATTAGAAGGAAAGTAGAGTGTGAAGAGAGAAGTTGACCTGTAGAGAGATATGTGGGAATCTGCAGGGCTCTCTTCTGCTTGTTTTGCATTTCTCAGTAGAGAAAGAGTCAAGTCATGAGCCAAGAAGGAGAATTTGGAAATAACTGTATGAGGTTTGAGAAGGCAGGAGAAGGCATGAAAGGGTCTTCCAGGAAAGTGGGAAAGAGAATGGACCAGACAAATAGCATGTAGATACCAGGCAGAAGCAAAGGCCCATGCAAGGTTTGTGGTATGGACGAGTAGGAGACTGGCCAGCAAGGCTATGTTTTCCTCTAGTTGTTTTCAGTTACACAAAGTACAAAGACAGATTGAGGGAAAGCTGGAGTCACCAGAGCAGGGTTTTTGTCGAGCAAGTAAGAAAGAAGGTAGGAAAGGGAGTAGGGAGTGCATAAAGGAAGGACTGTGGTGATAATAACTCATGGAATTTAGTTTGATAATGAGGGAAGAGAGGACTTTGAGGAAATGAGAGACAGTGAAGAAATGGCAGACTCGATGAAGTGAAGGTCCCATAAGGACACAAAGGACTGAGTCAGAGGATGAGAGGGGATGTAGCAGAGAGATAGGAGGTCAGAGAATGGGACTTTAAATATAAGCTTTTGTGGCAGGCAGAATAGCTCCCCCTTCCCAAGATGTT